AACCAATATTTTGGTTCCCATTACCATTACCATTAGAGTCACCACTTCTTTTTGGATAAGATCTTCTGCTATTCTGATTTCCGTTATTACTACCATTATTACTACCAGTGTTACTATTTCCGTTATTACTACCATTTACGCTACCGATATTGTTATTACCGGAATCATTTCCATTATATTGACCAGGATTTCCATTAGCATCAGTGTTATAATTTCCATTATTTGATCCATTGGTGCTACCAACATTCATATTACCATTATTATTTCCACTATTTCCTGCAGTTCCTTGGCCGTCGCTACTACCATTATTACTACCAACATTTAAATTACCGTTATTGTTTCCGCTATTAGGAGTTCCGATAGAACCATTTGAACTGCCATTATTATCTCCAACAACCGTATTTCCATTGTTACTGCCGGCATTATTACTTCCATTATTATTACCAACAACGTTATTACCATTATTAGTTGTGCCGGCTGCGTTTCCGATCCCATTATAATTTCCTACATCGGTAGTTCCGCCGTTATTGTTTCCGACATCATATGTACCCGTATTTCCACAGCCAACTTGGTAATTTTGGCCGGTCGAACAATCCGGAATCGGTGCGGCGGCGATGAAAGTAATACACACCAAAAGAATGAATAAAGATAAACGAATAAATGCCATCGTTTTATAAAGTATCAAAAGATTGTTCTGGGAATCTAAAAGACAAGCGTGTATACACAGAATAAAATGTGGATTCTAAAATTTATTCTCGGAGGGAAATTTAATGCCAGTTCCTACCCTACATTTATATATATTTTATAGCATATATAAATACATGTAATCTATTAATAATGTGTTTGTTTGCTATATGCACAATATAATCAATTCACCCCTCAACCCCTTTAGGTTAGTTTTGGGCTGTTAAACTAATTTATTCAGTTTTAAGTAAATAATGGGACTAACTAAATGTAGATCTGATAATTCTTGGCAGATTCGGTTAACAATGCATTAATTTCAATCCAATAATTAATAATCCCGATTAAAATTAACACTAACACTAATATACATGTAATAACGATAAATGACCGTTATCATCTAATACACTTTCTTACATCATGGATCTCTTGATTTTAATGATGAATTATCACGAACAGCATTAAGATTGTATGCATCTTTGCTAAGAGAAAACCGAATGAAATAATGAGGAATGGGAACAGGATCATTTTCAGGGTAGGTAAATCCTTTGGGATAATGAGTGAATGTAGTTTCCAACTGCGGAAATGTTGATTTGAAATAACTCTCGATATCTTTTCCAAATTTCTCTAGAATAGGATAACCACAGGCACCAATCAAGCGATCTACATCTAACGAGGCGTAATATGTTCCGTCTTGATGAAATCGAATATTCGTAACCATGGTTAAATCTGATGCCATTTCAAAATAGATGTTTCTTAAAAATAAAATTATTTGATCGATTCTAACGGTGACTGCTTTATCTTGATATGACATTGTGCTGGGTATAATCTCAAAATATTCAAGTTCTCGAAAAACTTCATGATTAGTGGGAGTTCCATTAACCTCACGCGGAATATGGATTAGACCGGTGCGATAGTATTCAAGAATGTAATGAAACGTTCGACCATTTCTATCGAAAAAGTGTTCATCAAGGTTGGCTAGCGTTTTTTTCTTATTCCTGAATAGTTTCCCAAGACGTGTTTGAGGATAAGCGGTAAACGTAGAGCGATACGCTTCATACTTTAGAATTAATACCATGATATTGTTATTATTCATCGCCATCCACCATTAACATAGATAGAAAATTATTACCTTAACTCCACCAACATTCAATACAATCCTTTCCTCAACTCCATTTCCATCGCCATTATTATCTTTTAGAGGTGACTTACTTGTGGTCGCCATTTTTTCTACAAAAAATCAGATAAACTTTGAACCAACAAAAACTTTTGATAATGGATTGATTTTTTCACGTGATATCCGAATATAAATCGATTTGAATTAACACGATGATATTTTTCATTATAAAGATATTGGACTTATTAAGGACTTTTAAAAACGTGCTAAGATAAAGATAATCTTTGCATCTCATGAACCCTAAGTTAGATAATTCTCTGACCTACGCCTCTCTCCCTCTCAGACTCGTGAGATTTATTTTTATGATCAAAGGCTGAGTTAAATGCAAATTTCCTAATTTTGCTGTATCGATACTTTATTCTAAGAGATTATATAAGATTATATAAAGTCAAACACATCATTAGACCGATTAATTGCAACGACGCTAAAAGTTCTGTAAAATAACTTTTCCTTTCTCAACAAATTAAATAATGGAAATTAAAATCTTCTATCTTGCTTCTCTTCTATCTTTTGCGTCGCTGGTAATTGCTGCTCCTATTCCTCAATCAAGCTTTAATGGTGATGGTAATGGGAACCAAAATATTGGTTCGTCTAATGGAAATTTAAATGGGAACCAAAATATTGGTTCGTTTAATGGA